CCCGGCCCGGCCCCGCCACAGCCCTGCGCAGGGCTGGTACCCGGCCGGAAACGGCCCCGGCCACGTTTTCTGCCCAGAAAACTGCTGGATCCCCGTCCCCGTTTGTGCTCCCGCTGTTCGCGGCCCCCGGTGATCCCAGCCTCGCTCGGCACCGGGAAAGAGAGCTTTCCGACCGAAATCCCCGTCCCTGCCTTTCATGGTCGCGCGTGTTCGGCGCAGGATAAATGGAGGCTGCAGCCTTCCCCATAGACGAGGGGCGCGCAAATGGCTTTGTCATGCAAATGTGGCTCTAAGCCACCTTCTTGTAAAGCCACTTAATGCCGAGCAGGCAGTGATCCTCGCCCGCCCGTCAGGCAGCGCCTGCCCTGTCCTTGAAGGAACGGAAATGGAGGCACTGGCACAGATGCACGGTCCCTGCCTCCATGCTGAATCGGGATGACCTCACAGCGCAGGGAGAAGCCTCCCATTCCTCCCCCCACCCCCGAGGTCTCTCTCTTCCGCGAAACTAAACTAGTTTCCTGCCAGCCTTTCCCTGCTGCTCCCAGAATACTGTCCCCTGTTCCTCTCCGTTCGAACGCCCGGTAATTACCTGCACGGATTGGGTTTCTCCCGTGTCCTGAAACATTTTATTTCCTTTTAGCATGTCGTCCTCGCTTGGCATTAACTTTCGACAACAGCCAGCAGAGTGTGCTGTGAACGCTGTGTAAAGAATATCCTGCTTCTGGGAAATTTTTATATATTTACATATATGTACAGAAATGCAGATGAAGACATTTTAAGTGGTTCTAATACTTGCACGAGTGGTATGTAGTTCCTCCCATCAATTAAAATACTTCTCTTGTCGCAGATCACACAACCTCTTCCTTAAAAATTAATAGCCAAGTCATACTAAACCGTCTGCTTTCAGCAAGATTGCTTTCCAGTGTTTGTATAAAGTTGGAAAAGTGCCACAATGGAGATGTCCAAATACCTTTCACAGTCAGAGAGAAGGATCTAGAACACAAGGTATTTAATAGATGAAAATGCAAATCATTACCCCAGCCTACAGGAAGTAGCTTATGCAATTATACAGTATGAGCATACATTTCTCCAACCTCGTCACTCCCTCCTTTGGACTTACTTAGTGACAGTGGAATTACAAACAGATTAATAAATACATTAGAAATAAGTGAAATAAAAAGATTCAAGAAAAGTGTTTACTAGATGACTCGGAAATGCGATTGTTTGCTCGAAAAGCAAACACGCATATGCTTGTGTTCCTTGTATTATTCTGGTGTCAATTTCTTTTTCCTTGTTTTGTAGGAGCAGACTTTTAGGGAAGAGTGAACTTTTGAGTTGTGCTTGTGGGGTAACAAATAGTTCTGTATCATTCACAAACTAAAACTGCATTAAAGCAAAGCCAAGTATGAGACCCTGTGGAAGGGTTTTTAAGGGCAGAAGGACATTGTTGTTATGCAACCAAACTGGAATTAGGATTAAAAGGAAATCAGAATACATAAACAAAAACAAATTCAGAGGCAAGGCATTCGAGTAAAATTGGCTGTGGGCTGCAACTATCTAAGCAGTGCAGTTAATGCTTTATTAAGTGAAACTGTTTTAGAAACATATACTAGAGGTTTGAGGTTTTTTCTTTTTCACAGGATCAGTGTGACTGGGCAATCAAAGGAGAATATTCTCCCCAGCTCTGCTTCTGATCAGAATGAATCAAATACAGCGCTCCTAATTTTCATGGTCATGAGAAGGTAATAAAACTAATAGTTATGTATTAGCAAGGCATTACAAACTATTTCATATGCACTGCTCTGGTCATGCAATAATACTCATGCTTAATATTAAGCACACGTGGCTTAACAGGTGCACATGAGTTAATAATCATAATGGTATCTGTGTTTTACACAGTTTTTCAGGTGCTGTATGCCAAGTAATACCAAGTATTGCTTGGCTGCTGGTAGCCATATATTAAAAGGTAGACTGCTAATTGGCAAGCATAGACATGCATTATTTCATAGCCACAGAGACCAGCACCAGTGAGTAGTCGAGCACAAGGAGGCAGCTAAGCAGTGCTTCACAATTCATCACTCCCATGGAGGAAACAGCGAGCAGCAAGATGAGAAGTTTGCTGACTCTGCAAAACTTTTTTAAGTTAGCAGGATTGAGGGTCATTTGTAAAGAATTGAGGGTGATTAAGCAGTAAAAAATAGATTAAATACAGGGTAGGTAAGTGCAAGATAATGTGTGCGCGGAAACCTTGTCCTAACTTCACGTAAAAGATAGGAATACCTAAAATGGTTGCTGCCACCCAGGAGTGAGACTTTAAGTATGTGTGGCCTGCATGAACATCAGCTTGGTGTTTGGAAAAAGCACATTTTAAGGAAAGGGACAGAGAACAAAAGAAGGACCATATTTATGGCAGTCCCAGAAGTCTGTGCTGAGTTTGCATGATGAGCACTGTTCCCCGGTGGGTTTCCTGCTTTTTAGAAAGAAAATGCTGGAACTAGAAAAGAATAACAAGGATGCTTAACTGTCTGACTTTGTGACCCTTGAAAGCGACAACTGAGTAGGATTGGCGTTCTCTCTCAAGAGGGGGGATGCCTGAGGCCTGTTACATCCTAAGTAACTTGGGGAGGTTGGATGGTGACTGACTTTTTGAGTACAAACCACCAGATTTGTGATGATGGGAGCCAGGCCTTAAATAAGCAAAGGAGATGTTCTTCCTGCAGTGTGTTTCTGAATGGCACGTTGGGTACAGGGTGTTTCTCTGGGGTGCAGTGCAGGGAAGATTGGACAAGTATTAGGAAGAGGCTGTGTTGAGAGTTAATGAATGAACACCCCCTCACACTCAGGAAATTCCCAGAGCTAAAAGCAGTTGGAAGCTGTGGGAGTGTTGCAGAGAAGATATCATGTATTTGCCTTGCTTTTCCTCTTCCTTTGACGTTGGCCTGTGGCCTGTGGTGGAAACAGGATGTTGGACTGAATGGGTTCTTCATCCGAGGCAATGCACCTCTTCCTCTGTATTCATGGAGGATCACGCTGAAACACCTGGAGCCACATAATAACATTAAGCCTGTGTGATGGGGTTCTTTCAAACCAGACTCAATGTTCATCTGTACCCAGAGTATTATAGAGCAACTGCTGGGCAGCATATTTCTGTTTTGCCTCACGATACACTTATATCTCTGTGTCCACAAAGTCTCAGTAGCAATATGCATACAGTTGCATTGCAGTTGCATACCTACAACCAAACCATCTTTTTGTCCTTCCTCAGTAGAAAACGTTTGTTCCACGAGGAACAGACCTAACGGTCTTACTTTTCTGTGAGTTTTTCTTTTGAAGGAGCAGCTGTGAAGAAAAATCTCTTTATCCCCTCCCCCCCCCTCCCTCTCCCTTTGTTTGATGGTTCAGGTGATAGTATCAGTTTTAGCCACACTTGAATTCAGTAGCCAGCAACTGACCAGCTAATACACACAGGCTGTTGGGCTGCTGCCTCTTAGCATGACTAAGGCATTGGATTTTGTCCAGTGATTTCAAATGCTTTTTGAATGGGAGAGAACAGTTCAGTTGTGTCCTTAGGGATGTGAGACAAAAAACTACCATGCCCTTTGTGATTTTATTCTCATCATGTTTTTGGTTTCATACATTTCTTACGTTACCTTAAAATAAATAAATGGAGAAGTATTGCTGGCTTCTTGGTGAAAAAGAAGCATGTGACCTATGAAAAATGGAGTGAACTTGTTAAAACCAGACAGTGCACCTGCTTGGATTTGTACGTTCTCTCTCTGAATTCACCTATGCTGTAGCTCGAGGATCAGGAAATACACAGTGAATCATCCTGTTGGACAGAATGGGACATGCAGAGTAAATTAAGTTTGCCATATCTCCGTGAGATTTTCTCCTTTGCTCACTACCTGTAGGAGGGGATTTTCTTAGTAATGTGACCTGTCTTCACGCTCCATTTATTGTACCCCAATTGATGTATGTAATCTTGGTTGAAGAGACAGATAATGGGGTAAACACCTAAAGTGTTGAATGCCTGAGCAACAGATCTGAAAAGAACAGGTAGGCAAGAACCAAAGTGCAAATGTTTAGAGACAAAAATCGGCATTCTTCTCTGACAGGAAATCTTAATGCAAGTTTGTTATCATTTTCTCCTTACAGGAGATGACAGAATGTGAAATTAAAGTGTAAATATCTTTTATTTGCTAGCGTTGTACGTGACTTTTCTGTTTTATTCTCTTTACTGAATAGGACTTTAATATATTTGCTTTTAATATCAATAAAAACCACTGGTTTCATATCTGTGAACAGCAAAGTGTCAAGGCATGATGAAAAAGTGCTGCTTTTTACTGTTTCAGAGATTGCTGCAAAGCTGGCTACACACTGTTGTGGTTGATTGGCAATCCAGAAGGAGAAATCCTCTTTCAGTATTTTACCAGAAAAGACTCATCTTTCTCTTCCATGCACACAAAGAGTGGGAAACCGTGTCCAAACAGCAAACAAGTTCTGTAACTGTGGCACGGCAGCCTTGACGATTTGGTATCTTCAATACAAAGCATAAAACCACTGGAGGAAAATACTTCCTTTTTTCTGAAACTAAGGCACCGAGATTATTCTTGCCCCACCAGAAATGGGCTTTGAAGACCTGTCTCAACTGTAATAAAGTCGAACTATTCAGGTTTTGGGGCCTTTTTTCCAAATGTGCAAGGCTTATCATGTGTAGGAATATTCACATATCATGTAAAAGGAATCTATATATTGGCAGATTTATTCTCCCTCTCAATATTCCTATCCGGACAGTTACTTAATCCATGCAAGAACTTTCCTGTAGCAACTAGAAACATTAAGAAACTTTGCCCAAGGCTTTTGTCACTTTGTCTTTTTATTTAGAGGATGTCGATCATTTGTGAGACAGAAAATAGGTACATCATCTGTTGTATTAATCCCCAAGACACGAGCTCTAGCTGTATTGAAGGTGAAAGACTGAGTGTTCTGGAGAAAAGTGTAAAATTCTGGCCTTCTGAAGTATTTAAGGAGATGGGAGAGATAAGTATGTACGAAGAAATTCTTCAAATTTCTGCTTTATATTATTCAGTGTATTATACTTTTTTTTTTTAAGCGATACCATAAAGAAATTTATTTTTTTACTATTGCTTCCAAGGCAGCCTGCCTTGTTCCTTGTGAGAGTAGCTGGAAGGGAGAACCATAAAACAGCTGACAAAGTCTCATGTAGCAAGAAAATCATATCCCAGTTACCAGGATTTAAGCAAGATAAGTCTCTTCTGGTCCTTGCAAATCTCTACAAAACATTTTGATGCCATTGTCCACAGGTTTGATCAGATCTCTCTTTCCAATTTGTTTCCCTAATGTTAGCTGCAAACATATGATAAGTTCATCTCACAGTGTTGTCCATATGCACCACTAGGCCTGTGACCAGTTAAGGCTGCTGAGGCACAAAAGGAGAAGGAGAATGTGGAATTGATCCTAATGACTGGACCATGCATTTTAGGTTCACACCAATCTCCCTGTGAGAGAAATACAGAGTCAGCATATGGCTTAAGCCCCCTAGGAATGCAGGACCAGTGGGAGGTGCTTCTGAGGGACTGAGCCATCTACAGAATTTGAATATTGAACATAATCCTGATGCATCCTCTCAGCATGACCAGAAAATAGTTTCTGATCAGGGTCTTCACTTGCTACCTAGATTTCTTCAGTTAATTGATTTTCTTGTCTTATTTTTGCTTCCCCTCCCCCCCCACCACAGGAAAGCTTGGCTTTGCCTTTCCAGAAAGAAGAACACTGACCACAGCAATTTAACATGTGACATTAACTGATTTCTCTTTTGGTACAGGGAAAAATGGATTCCAAAGGTTTTAATACCTGTGATTAATTTGAAAGTGTTCATAAGTGAAGTAAAATAAAAAGAGTTGCTGATGCCCCTTTGAGACATTTATTACATTTTCCCCTTCATCCAAATGTTTCTGGGTAAGCTGTTGAAGTCAAACTCTTGCATAGCAGCAGCAAGGTAAAGCCAGATACTCCTTTTTATTTTTGAGGTTGGTTTGCTCTCTTTCAGAATTTGCTTTCTTTTTAGCATAGGTACACTGAGCTTTGCCATTCAATAGTACTTTTTTTTTTTTTTTGGAAGAGCGTGATATGTCCACATATTGCTCATAGCTTGGGAAGTTCTTTGTGAAGAAAAATAAACGAGAGGGGGGGAAAAAAAAGAGTTTTTTCTCTTTCTGACCAGATTTAGGATCTAGTTAGTGATTTTGGAATCTAGTTAGTGATCAAGTGACACGGCACGTTTGTTGCAAGAGACTTCACTTCTTTGCTTTTTGCTCAGCCAGGGTTTACTTTACAACAGTGGTCAATGGCTCCCAGTTTTCAACATCCCCTCTGAATTTGGAGGCAATGAAACTGTTCACCATCAAATGAAAGTATCCTCACCTGTCTAGGAAAGCATCCTGTCTAGCACTTGACTGTTCCCTGACCGAGATCTGACACACTCGCTTGCCAGCCACTGCAGCTGATGCACCACTGGTACAGTCCAATGCCAGGTGGGATGTGTTACTCTCTCATGAGTCTGCATGTGCTCTGTTTCTTTAGGGTGTGTCAGCATGGTTAACCTCAACCAGCTTGAATTTTATCTGTCAAAGTTTGGATCTTCCTCAAGCCTCATTTTTTCATTTCTTGTTTTTCCAGTTTGGGGGGGGTAAGGTTTGTGGTTCTGAATGTTCCACATTTT